TGGCTAGTCCCACGGTTGGAGATTTCAACCGAAGGAGTAGGGGGAGGATCCGATAGGAAATAAAATATAGAAGATTAAAAAAAAAAAAAAAACACCTTACCTTAAAAAGAGAACGGTTGTCCATTTTCAACGGATTATCTAGGGACTGTAAGTCCCAAGTCTCTTCTTTGAGCGTCATCTAACGTCTCTAATGAGTTTAGATTCTTTTTCTTTGGGTGTATGTGCGCCATCCTTGCGCAGGGGTCATGCAACTCTCACGCCCTGCTGTCCCGAGTTCAATCCCTGGCGGGATTGAAAATTTTTTGGACGGCTTCTCGATTTTTGCGTGTCATCCTTGTGCAGGGGCCATGCAACTCTCGCGCCCTGCTATCCCGAGTTCAATCCCTGGCGGGATCGAATAACTTTTTGACTGCTTCTCGATTTTTGTGTGTCATCCTTATGCATGGGCCGTGGTGCTACTGGCGCGCAGCCGATTTCGACCGTTCTATCTCGCGATCGTGTGGTCGAATCGACCATGCCATGTATGTAGGCCTTCTAAAAAAAAAACAGCTAGCGCCAGTAGGGCGCATTCATATTCGATCCCGATATCCTATAAGTATTAGTCCAATGCCGTATCTTATTGGGCTAGCTCCCCCGTAGGCCGCCCACCTATGGTTAGACAGGTTTTGCCTGTCCGCCCAACTTTTTTGTGGCCGACTACCTATCAACAGCCTGAGCGACCACCCAACCGCGCAGCCCGAGGCCCCATTTCTCTCGACCCTTGGCGCAAAAATCGGACTCCACAGGTCCAAAAATAAACAAATAGGCATCCCCTTTCTTCTATACTGCGACCCTATATCTTACGCGACCTCTCTTTTCAACGCACCCTGACCCTGAATCGCACGACTGTCATTATTTTAGGTAGGGTAGGTCTTAACTCTAACATTTTCACGACCATGTGCCTCTGCGACCTTATCAGGAACCATGTCTGGTTGGTTATACTGCTAATTACCACCATTATTCTCGAACGTCAAAAACGTCCAGGCTAAGGTTCAAAAAAGTTATCGTTTCTCGGTCATAAGCTTAGTGTGAATAAACTTCAGGCAGATGTCATTCTCATCCAGTCCCTTAATTTAACGAAAGAATCGGACATCGTCTGACATTGAAAACCCGAGCAGATACCCGTGTAAGGGTGTCTGCTCCGACAACGGTCGATGTGTAGGCCAAGTACTGATGGTTTAAAAACGACTAATACTTTTAAAGCCCAACCAATTCAATTACCAGCCGAATCTTGACAGGACGACCTTTCAAGCCGTATTTTCTGTAGGTCGTCTTCTATTATGACCATAATATTACAGGCAACCTCTAGCAGCCACATCCGTATTCATGCATCCTATGAGAAACATGTGGGAGTTGCAACCACCAGCACGCGAATGCCATCCACAACAAGTTGGCCATTTCGGCAAGGATTCCGCCGGTGGCCTAAGAGACCATGCCATATGGTCCAATTTGTCCCTCCCCTCCATTCCTCTCCCCCTACATACATCAACAGTCTCTGTCGACTGAACGGGGGAGAATGGGTTACCTTTGGATGGCGGACACCATACCTTGAGGGCAAGGGGATTGAACCTAAGACCTACTGAATTCGCAACCAGGATGGCTGTGTTTATGCCGGTTGTCGTTTGTTGTTTTGCGGCGCGTTTTTTTTTTTGGAAATATTATGCAGTACAACGAGCAGTAAATGGGGTGTTTTTGGGGTTGGGGAAGGGTGTGGTCGGTGCCGGTAGAGGGTGTGGCACAACTTGGAGCGTGAGCGACTGCGGGAGACTGGCGGTCGGGTGTTGACGTTGTTGTTTGGTGTCACTGGACGAGGACCGCACATTTTTGTTTTAGGGAAGTTTTTTTTTGTTTTTTTGGGCTTCGTTTTTGTTCTTTGGTGGTTTTGGGGGTGATGTTGGAGTACATGGGTGGTGGGTGGGCGCAAATTTGGGGGTGGGTCAGTCTTCGTGTAGGGTACTCGGATGAATCGTGTTACAATTTTTTATCTAGGTGCACTGTGGGTACACCGTCTCATCTTGTGGGGACGATTTGTGGGGTTTCCTTTTTTTTAATTGGAGTTGGGGGATGGATCGACAACTGTGAGGATTTTTCTTTTTTTTGTCGTCTCATTTTTTTTGGGTGTATACTGCAAACCTGACCTGCTTGCCAAACCTGGCAAATCTGTCGTCCTCCCCCGACAAGTTGTCTTGGTTGCGTCCCACGTTCAGTGCTTGGGCTTGGACCCCACTGGCTGACGGTAGCTGGCCGCCAGCCTTTGGAAGAGATGTTTTGTGACCCCACTATTGGCGGCCGCCAACCTTTGGAAGAGATGTTTTGCGCCCCCACTATTGGCGGCAAACACAAACACTTTTGTTTCCACTTTGCCTACCCTTGCGTTTATAGCATACCAACCAATCCCTGTGACTTCTTTCCGCACGGGTGGCTGGTACGATGGCCAACGTCTAGAGTCCGCTAGCATACCAGCCATCCTGTGCCGAAAGGAGGCACGGGGATTGGTTGGTGTGCTGAAAAAGCGCAGACAAACTTGCCTGAAATGGCAAGTCTTCCTTATCGGGTAACAGAAACCTCGGGAAGTGTCAAAAATTATTGTGGCAATGGAGTCCCATTTTGCTTGCCCATTCCCGTCGGCTACTATTTGTTCTAGCGGATGCTTTCTTGGTCAGCCGGTGGGCTCCCTCCCTTATGTGTGCCTTGCCAACTGAGCTCAAGGTCATGGACCCATGCCACCTACGCTGGCAGGTACCTCATGACGGAAGAGAGCACGTACCTCACGACGGCAACAGTACGGTACCTGCTCATGCAGTCTGATCTCATTGCTAGAGGTAGAATAGACTGTGTACCGCGCAGGGCGCAGGAGCGCAGCCAAACGAGAGCGAGGAGCAGGACAGGCGAGGGGGCCCTTTTCTCACTCCTCCCGCCTCCATCACATTTTGCACGATGGTGGAGCGAGGGCGTTTGGCCATCCCTTCCGTCACTTATCACTTACTATACCCCGCCTGCCCCAAAACAACCCCCCCCCCCC